ATGTCACCGTAAATGACATATTGTGCGTCAAAAGTGACCATACAAGATACAATCTGTCACATCACGATACGTAACTCAATATCACACAAAACAAAACATTAAGTTGTTTGTCTGGGGTTCTAAAAGTAATTATAGGTATATTTGGCAAGTACAATGATTGTTTTTTTTATAATTTGTAAAGAGAAAATTATTTAAATTCTCTTGTTAATTGTATTACAATTCGGTATGATGTTATTTCTATTTTTCTGGAAAAGTGTTTTATTTTTGTTTGAAAATGCATTACACGTCAATATTTTACGTGCGTGTATAACTATAATTGTATCCAGCATGTTCATTTCTCAGCTACATGTTCAATATCAAAATATATCATGTTAATTCCACCCATTGTTCTTGGAGCTTTTCGGGCTAAATATTGTGGTGTAATTAAAGGTAGCACGCTACTTAAAAGTGATATAACAATGTCATTTTCGTCATTTTTACAAGTGCGACATTTCTTGAAGAAATTGAAATAAAAATGTGGGGTCACGGTACAAAAGAAAGTAAAATATCGGTGACACGCGATAATAAATTATGTTTCTTAAAAGGTACACGTTCATAATCACCATTTTTTTTTACACCACTTGTTTATTTGATATGTATATATTGTCTGGGTTTTATTTGCTGTTTTTATTTTTCATAATAATATAAACAATAAGGATAAGATGAAAATAGAAAAAAAGAAAATTGTCATTAGGTATATTTGCCAAGTTGTTTATTTATTCATTTTTTTAATCTGATTTATTTTTCCAAAACTTATTTTCATGGACTTAGAAGTTCTGTATGGCATCAGGTTGGTTTTGGCGGTACCACTTTCGCGGATGCCCTGCGGTGTTTGGTGGTGGTGGTGGTGTCGGCAAAGCGCGATGCCATACAGACATATTTGTTCACTTATTGATTTTATTTAGCTATATGTTTATTCATCACCGATTTGTATTAACTTTCATATTCATTTGTTTAGTTATTTATCAATTTGGTTAGTTATTCTTCATATTAATATACTTATTTTTGGCCCTCTACTATATACATTATAATTTACTTCCAATGTATATAGGAAATCAGACTAGACTAGCAGTAAGCTATTTTCTGATTTCCTTTTTTACCCAATGTATATATATATATGTATATTTTTCTTACCATTTGTTTTTCTGTATGGCTTACTTTTTTTTTTCAGTGTTTCTTATTGTTATTATTATTATTGGGTAAATAAATATTATTATTATTATTATTATTATTATTATTATTATTATTATTATTATTATTATTATTATTATTATTATTATTATTATTATTATTATTATTATTATTATTATTATTATTAAATCATGAGATTTTAATAAGACTTGTATCGAGATTACCGGAAGTAGATCACTCCGTTATGCTTACGAGATGCATACTATCGCACACACGGTAGCTTAGCAACTTGGGAACCCGAGTCTCGTCTATTGTGATTCAACTAAAAGGTTGTTTTGCAGGACACAACATTTTTTGGAGAAATGCGGATGCGTCTGTTCATGTGTTTTTCCATTCGTCACTTGACTTTTAAATAAAAAAAATGTTGTGAAACGCTACATCATATTTTTTTAAAATATTAACGTATTAAACGAATAGTATTGGGTGCAACAAAGCATTGAGAAACCTTAATGTAGTCAGTTGATACACCTTTCCCATGAACCACGCCCTTTAGAGACAAAGCTCTTCTGTGACGTGAATGAATGACACGAGGGCACTCAGAACACCGATGTCGTTGTGATCTGTAGTTGTCAATGACGATTATATTTTGAGATAGTTGACTATACTTTAGATAACACAGTCAAACACAGCGGTCGATTTTAACGTCATTGCTACTATCCACTTATGTCAAGTTTACGTCACAGGAACGCTCTGCCACTAGAGGGCGCAATATATACAGTGTTATTGTGCCATCATGCAATTATTTGTATCTATTTATAAAAGAGTTTCAATTGAATCAAGACAGGAAGTTATAATTGGTTATAAGAATGCCATTATACGCGTACATACCCCGGGCACATGGACATTGACGCCAATTTACAGCTAATAAGACACTACCCACGTAGATTCAAACAAATCCGCTCAAAGGTGAATGAATTTGAATCACAGTTATCGGCACGTTTAGAATGTTATTTTTTAGCTTTTTTTATTTTGATCGGTCACTATGGTTGAAGTTGAGAAATACTAACGCGATGAAATTTACATGAGTCTATTTCTTTCCTCGGGGTTATTTTAATAACAGTAATAACCGAGTTTATTTTATTGACAACCGTAAAACTAACGAGTTGTTCAACAATTTCACTATCACTATAAAGATCAGCTGAAATTCGCGTCAAACTGATCGCTTTTTTGACTACCAGCCGATCAAATCCAAAAGGGGCGGGTCCATAATTTCATCAATTCAGCAAGTCATTATTATTTTAAAGACGCGGATCGTCCAATCTGATTAAAATAAGATCCTGGTTGGCTTAATTGTTTTTGTTGGTATTTTCTTATATAATTACTATAATTATTATTTATTTTAATTATATTTTGACGTTACAATTATTTTGCTGCAAGAATGTTTTTGTCGGTGGCTTTCACGAGCAAAATAAATAATAATTATAGTAATTATATTTAAAAAAAATAAGCCAACCAGGATCTTATTTTAATCAGATTGCGGATCGTCGTGTTATTTTGTTCTCAACAAT